ACTGTCGGGGCCGGCCCTCGGAAATACGTGGGCTCATAATCACATGCACACACTCCACGTGTCGTCATTTGAGTTGTTGAATAACCTATGTGTTTCTTTTTATGTAAACTCTCAGCTGAAGTGAGGCCACCTAAAATCCGAACTGCCATACTCTCAGCAACCTTGTCAACCAGTTCCTGAGCAGCCAGTTTTTATGGGTGAATAATGAAGCTTCAGGTGACATGTGCATTTCTGAGGTTTTACAAATGAAACTAGTATTTTTCCTTTAGGCTGCTAGGATTACAAATCCTGTTATAAGTGTATATAAGTTGACATTTCTACACACTAAAACTGAGTGTGGGGTTCAAGCTGGTCAGGACTAGTGAGGTCTGTTATAACACTTTCAGTTCTCCCTGTCCATGGTTTCTCTTTTGGCATCATTTTTCTGTCATTGTATCATCTTTATCTGTAATTTCTCTCCCAGGAACACCACTGGCCCATTATATCTTTCTCTGTTACAACCATCTATGATCAGTCCCACAGCTTGATCTCATTGGATGTTTCACTCAGTAAAAAAACAGAGAGCAATCTCCAATTACTGCAGAACTGACACTGGCCATTAGTGCAATTCCCTTGAAATTAAATGCTAGGAGGAATCCTCAGATGTTAACCATAACTGAATATGTTTAGAAATGTTGTTATTGGCACTTCGAAATGCTGTATGAGCTGAGCTGCTGATTCCAGTTCATTTACACTTGTTCAATACACCCCAAGGCCAAGGTGCAAATTCAGTCCAGATCCCAAGACGGAACATGTGTGCCTTGTGTGAGTATCTGTTGTATGTTTTAGGTCATGTTAGGAAACCAGCATGTAGCTGAGCATTGACTCAGGAAGTACCCGTTAGCTTTGGGTTTAGGTATCATAACTTCCTGTCTGTTATTTCTTATCCCAAGTCTCCCACAAAGATTTATATTTTCTGTTTATTAATATATCAGAATTGTACACTATGCAGCTACAAGTCCCGTTGTCGGATGCTGATGAGGAACATTCCATGCTCCCAAAGGCTTCATATAAATAAAACAAGACAAATACGAGAAGAGGTGCAAGACAGCTGCTAACCACAGATGAAAGAATAGATGTAAGATGGTTGCATCAGTGGGTGGTGATCTAAAGGGTACACTCAAATTCCCTAGCAATGCAGTAGAACAGGTGGGAGAGACAGCTGTTTCTAAAGGTTTTTTTTAATTATTTCTTTAATAATCTTGCATGATATATCACTGAGGCCACTTTGCTTATATTAATGTAGCTCTTAGAACCTAAATCTAGCTATTTAACCTTTTTGCATATTGCTTACCAGCTTTTAGTGTTTGTGGATACTTTAAGTTCCTAGATATCTCTAGTGTAGATATAGAGTACATTAAGTACATTTTCTGAAAGCATGGGCCACAGGATCATGGTTTCAGGAGAAAAATTTTAGAAAAGAGATGTAGCAAATACATTGGTGAAGTAGAAGCCTTGAGACATCCAGTTTGGCAAACTGGTTTGTAAAAATTTGCTTGGGGAATTTCTTAAGAGGCATATCAGTTGATCTGAATCCCACAAACTTCTCCAGTCCCTCTTATTGCCTCCTTGATTTCTTTGGGAAATAGTTTGTTTTCTTTTTAAGTTTTAAAAGACTAGTTCTCTCTAAAAGGTTTTTGCATTTCAGCTCTCTTTTGCCTCTTTCATAGCACTGTGCCAAACACATCTAAATTGAATTTCTGCAAAAAGATGAATAAATAACATTTGCACTCATGGGCACCAATTTTATATTGTGTCAGAGATGTGGAAGTTTATTTGATTGTCTAGAAATGAGGCTTCACTTACCATTTTTTTGGAGCCAGTGTTTGAAGATGATGTTCTGTGTGAGAAATTGACTTGCTCTCTAACAAGACAAGACTGGTGATATTCACACAGTGACCGATTAGGTTGTGGTTTGTCCTTGTCTTCATAGCTGATGAGCTTTGCTCTCAGAATAAATGGCTAGGGCATTGTGCCTCTACCTGGAACATTGCTGCTCTGTCCCTTCAGTCTCCGAATGTAGTAGCAGAAGTTGAAAAATATTAATGTGAGAGTTGAATTTCACTTATTTTATTCTATGATGAGAGGTTTCAGGAAGGCTAGAAAGGGAGTCAGGGCTTCAAAATGTTAGTAAGGAGCAGTGCTCTTCGTTCTCATCTCCTCAGCCAGAGACAATGCATCTGAGGGCTGCTTTATGGAGCGGTCACAAAAAGGAGCTTCCTAAGATAAGGAGGGTTGTCTACAGCATTCATATTCTTTATACAGTTCCATTTGCCTGCAAGAATGAAAACATGGAGGTAATTTAGTGGCTACTATTGTGACTTTCAAAGGTTCTTATTATTTCTTAGTGGCTATGGGAAGCTGTTAGATAAACATCATGAATGTGGACTGAGATCATATTTTCAGCACCTGGCAACACTGTAGGGTCTCAGCTGTACTTCAGAAAACACAATCATATTGAAGAATGAAGCCTGTTTTTTCAGACTGTCAGCTAGTTAGGTATATATATAACTGTTACCAGTACACAAAATAATGAAAGAAAACAATCATTTGCTCACCCCGCAACATCCACAACATGTGCAGTCCCCACAGATTGTTCCCAACAGGCCATTCACCACCTGAATGCCACAGAGCACTGCCTGGATCCCACTCATGACGAGCAGCAAGGAGAAAAGGGTCAGGTTCCATGGAATGATGTTTTCAGGTGCCTGGCATGTATTCCACAGTGTGTGGTTAGTGAGGTAATTCCTGGGGGGGCACATAAAACACTTATGAAGAGGGCGGCGTTAGCTCACAGAGAGGGGCTCTGTCACAGCTGCCAAGCTGTCCCTGTTGTGACCCGGCTGAGGTTCTGTTAACGTCAAAACTGCAAGAAGGAATTTCCATTATCACACTGGTGCTGCCTATCCAGAACATGATTTCGTTTTGGTTTCTAGATCAATGGAAACAACTGATTTGAAAAGATGAGGGAACAATCAGAGACAAGGATGTTTGATGTAACTGAACAGTTTCAGGTGTCTTGGAAAGGAGAGACTTTAGCTAAACTTGTGCCAAACGGATATTCACTGTGCTGAAGTCTTTGTGGAAGGCATTTTTGCTGCGGAGGTCGTGGTACTCTGCTGGCTGAGGTGATGCTGACATCTGCTGGTCTGAAACATTCCAGACAGTGCACCCCAACAGACCTGGGACTCCCAGGGGTGAGCTCCTGGGAATTGCTGCATCTTCTGTAACTCCTTCTTAGCAGAAAACCTGGGCTTTTACTTGATGACAGGATTAGATTTGTTTGTGGTGCACACGTGTGTGTATGTGTGTGTGTAAGGTCTGATGCTGGATTGGTGCATTCAGTCCAGTACCTCAAAATACATTTGGGAACAAGGAAGCAATTGTGCATTCTATAACTAAATGTTTGTCTTTATTTACTGTATTACATTTTAATAAAAAAAAAAATTAAATTATCCGAAGCATATGATACAAGATAACAAACTCAGTTTTCCTAAAAATAAAATAAAATAAAATAAAATAAAAAGCTATAAGACTGGTTACCTCTTGCCCATTGAACAGAAAAGAACAACTTTTGCTGTTCTAGATGTCCCATCTAAAGAACATCAGTATTAGGTATTTTTCATAATTTTTACCTTCACATTTTGATTTAATTGTGAACTGTTTAACAGCTTACTGTGTGTCCTCTGTATATTCTTAACGCAGTTTTGTTTCTTCTGTTCTGGTCAAGTGATCCTTTGACTGCAACTAGAGTTGTGTTTGAAATGGAGCATGTTTTTGCAAAGACTCCCAGAATTAGACCAAAGCCGTTGGTTTCCAGCTTTCATTAGCTCATGAATAAATAATGTCTAACATACAGCATTATACTTTTTTTTTTTTCTTTTCAACCTGAACTATAATTTTGTGGTGAATTATGCAGGCCACGCTGCTAGGTTCCTCTTGCCTGGGGCACACTGTGTTAACGATTATCAGGTGATGAGGGGTTTACTGCACCCCTTGTTGGTCTGTCCTGATCGCACCTGCTTTCCTTAGTAGAGCATTTTACCCTGTTTTCAGTTGGACCTTTGCTGATTTTAGCACTGAGCAGTTGGATTGCCAGGGTTTCAAGTTGCTCACACCACCTTTCTGATACATGACAGCAAACATGTTTCAGCTGCAGTGTGAGGAACAGCTTCCAAATTCCATAACCAATATAAAATGATACATAGATACTATCTGAATAGTATCAAATTCCAATATGAGAGGTCCTTGCTATCCATCTACGTGGAATTTATCCCCATATACTGTTTACTATCTGAAGAAAAACCTAAGAGAATGTGCATTTCTCTGTATTTGCTCCCTTGAAACTCAATAGTTTTGATTGTACTTGCTGTTCTTTAGATCCATGCTCTTGAACCTTACTTAGCACTGCTGTGCATTTGTGGCTCTTCTAAGAGCTTCTGTGTTGTAGACAAACAGTAAAATTCCCATTTTTATACAACAGATTTGGAAGTTAAATCATATAACAAGCTTAAAACCTGTATAACATTTTTTTCTGATTGTCTTGTCTTACCCGTCCTGGAAAGGATAGGTCCACTCTGTTCCAGTGTAACATTTGGGGCCTTTGTTTAAGGCTACTGCTGACAAAACAAAGCAATATCCAGCTCCCAGAACTCCAACTGCAGCAAATATTATAGAAGAAAACATCTGATAAAGAGAAAAGTAATGTTATTTTTGTTCTCATTCCAAACAATCAAATGCACCCTATTGATATGACTGTATAGTCCCTAAATTCAGCTCTAAACAGTCAAAATACTCAAGTCCTTAGCAGCTAAAGTGTATTTGTTAGCAATGACATAATAAATGTGTAACGCATACTTGCACTGGTTTTAAAAAGCTTTCAAAGAATGAGCACTGTTTGACTGAAGACAGAAGGGGTGGATGGCGACACAGTAGATGGCACTCCTGCCCTTCAGACAGTCTTCATCCAACAGCCCTCACAGTTCTTCACAGGCCCATCTTTTACTAAAGTGGAGTCTTTCTCAAGAGATTACAAGCAAGACTGAAGCCTTGGACCACTCATTTAAAAATCCCTACAGTACCCTTTACAAGTTAGCTTTGGTATCTTGGTCATAGATGGACCATGTAATTATATTTTCCCTTCCTGAGCCTCCCCTTTAGATTTCATATTAGTATACATGTTTGTTTGTTTTTTTTTTTCATATTAGTGTACTTTATCTCCTCACAGGTACTTCTTGTCATTAGCTCTAACAGTGCAATTGGAATGGATTGGAAAGGATGCCTTTATTTCTCTGGCTTTTCATTACAACATTGTCAAGTTAAGTAAATCATGCAAAAACTAATGCCCTGCTTGAATTCTGAAGCACTTATAGCCATAATCATTTGAACTTGTAGCCATAATCTTTTGTAGGTAGAGGTACTGTCTTTTATTGGATCAAAGTGATACAGGTGGAGGAAAAAAAACCAATATTCAGGTCTGCGAGCTTTTATTCAAACCTTGTCACAAGACTTGCCATGAGTGCTGACATGCAATCTTATGTTGATATATCTGATGTGGTTAACTTAAACATATTTATGTAGTAGACATCATAATAATGGTCTTTCTCCTACCAAACAAGAACAAATGCAGTTCTCAGCGGGGCTGTGGTAAGGCCACTGGGACTTCTCTAGTACGGTGTGTTTACTGCTTGTAACTGGACGAATGCTCGCTCAGGGCCTCTCCGCCAGCTGCACGCCAGCGCAAGCTGCCTGTGAGGGCCCACGCTGCAGGACACGGGTGGCTCTGTGGGCAGGACACGGGTGGCTCTGTGGGCAGGACACCGGTGGCTTTGTGGGCAGGACACGGCTGCAGGGTTTACCTCGCGCACGCGGCTGGACCACCGGTCACCCCCCAGGTACAACTGCACACCCAGTAAAGCTGTGTGGCAGCGTTTGTGTGGCAGCCTGGCAGCAAAACATTGTTATTTGGTAGTTGCTGAGTTATATGTGGTCTTCAAAGCCACATATAAGATATGTTCACTGCAAACAGAAAATGGATAATACAGTGTGGTGAAGAGAAGTGAGTGGCTTTATTTCCCCCTCCTCACAGTTCCTCCTGCTTTGTTGGGATTGCATGAAGACAGTATCGAAGACCAGGGATTTAGGGAACGTTCCTTGGTCTTGATTATTTTCTTTTTTTTTTCCCCTCTATTTTTTCAACTAAAAACCTGATCCTTTATAAAAAAAAAAGTAATGATCTACTTGAGCTGAACAATTTCTTTCAAAAGGACAGACTTTTCTAGTAGAAATATATTTTTTTTATCTGATTATTTTTTAAACTAAAATGCTAGAAATATTTACTACTGTGTGAAGGTATCCATTTGAAACTTTTCACTTCTGTTGTGAAAGGAAGATTTAAATTCAAAATGGAACTCGGTCTACATGGCTTTAAGTCAGAGATTGGATTAGGTGGTCTGCCGAGGACTCTTCCAAACTGCAATTTCCTATGAACCTAAAGAGATACCCGTGGGTCCGCAATGAGTTGGGAATGTAGCACCCAACCATCAGAATAATTTTTAAAATGGCCAACAAAAAAGGGCAAAAGAGAGAACTGTTATGCTCTGCAATACAAAGTGCAGATCTTTCAGAAATTATTTTTCGTTACGATAGCAACTGTAAGTACCTTGTAATAGCAAAATACAAGAGGATGATACAGTTGTGGTACCTGTGGCACAACATCAAAGGCATAGTAAAACTTTTACAGCCTGCTATTTCTCCTTTCCAGCACTGAGAGAAGTGGCAGGGCTTTGTGTCCTGTGCTGTGGACAGCATCTGTCTACTCTCTCAGTGACTGAGCAGAAGTTACTATATTGTATCCATAACAATTTAGCTTTTACTTTTTTGACATATTTCCTCTCACTTACCGCAAACCTCTTTCCACAGCTCTCATTACCACAGCATCCACAGCAATCATTATTCTTAAGGCCCAGAAATACCAAGGCAGGAAAGATCATCTACCAATAACAGAAATACAGTTTGAATTGGGATGAAGTCAAGTTACATTTGCTTTGAAATATAAAAGTTCTATGTTGTATTTTTTTTCTTATCACTAAATTAAGTTACTTATTGCAAGACTGTTGGATGACTTGTAACTTATTTGTTGAAGAGTTTGCAGTGTTGGAACCTGCGTTTGAGGTACATCTGAGGAAATTCAACAATGCAAACTCATAGTGTGGGTGGGGGGAAAAGGTGGGAATATCTGAACTTATATACTCACCAATACACCAGATCCCACGATCCCTCCGAAATACCAAACTTCATCTGTAATGTTTTTATTGTTTTCAATCACTCTTCCTCCAGGGAAAAACAGCAAAATGTTAGCGAGGGTACATAGCACAGCCAGGGGGATAAGAGTGGTTCCCAGGCACTTAGCACAACCTCCTGTGCACATGGTTTTTTAAAGAAGTGGTGAACACAGTTAAAGGCAGAGGAAAAATCTCTCAGATGTTCCCAGAATCGTTTTATAAAAGGAGCTTCTCAGTGTATTTTACAAAATCCAGTTTCTGCTGCGCCTTTCGAGGAGCTGAGCCTGTAGAATGCTCCCTTCAGAGATGTTGCTGCAGTCGATCAGAAGTGCAGCGTGTTGGTTATTTATATGTTCTTGCAGCTGTGATGTCAATTTTCTGAACGTCCTTAAATGAAATTACGTTTGTACAGCCTCTCATTTTACTATGACAACCAATAACCTCTGTTAATATTTTACTAATGTGGATGAGACACTTCATTATCTGGGCTCAGGTCATGGGTAGATACCATTCTACGTCCTGTATCACCGTTTTTACAACACATGGTCCTTCTTTGCACTACAAAATACTTCTGTAGAGTCTAACATGAAAATATGTAATGAATCAGCTGATGTTAATAACAGCTGTGTGCATTGGAAAAGTTCTAGTGAACTTTCTTTGGGAAAGTTGAGCTAGTTATTTGCTATTTTGAAGCACTCAGACAATTAATAGATTTGCAATAGGGAAAGAGGGGCAATGTTTTGCAGCTGATATCTCTGAAAAAAAGCTGATGATCAAAAAAAGTTTTAGTGGATTTGCTCCTTGTGTGGCATTATTTTGTGTTCTCTAAGTATAATGTGTTTCTCAAGGTCCAGCATTTCATCTGCGCTCAGGTAACATTTCCACTTAAAGTTATGCTGCATGTGGCAGGCAGACTCTTCAGCTCAAGCAGAGCCTCACTGGCTTAGCACACAACATTTTATTCAAGCGAACACCTCTTCTAAAGCAGGCTCTGCAGCTCTTTAACATATACTGGATACCTTCTCTTTCATATTTAGACTTGGTATAGTGTCCTGTAGAACTTGTTTTAGGATGATTTTTGCATCCATCTTCATTGCCAGAAAGTTGTGATAGATGCCGTTCCATCGCCATTGCTGTGTGGACATGAGAATTCCATGTGTTTTGAGATGGGCAACAGTTTCCACTTTGCTAAGAGGGTGAAGCTCAGGAAACTTTCATTCTATTTTGAAATAAGCTTTCTTTTAAAAAAGTCTGAGACTTTGTTTTGATCCATATAGCACACCTCCGCTGGATCTTCAAAGACAGACAGTACAGAAACATTTAAAATTTTACCTTGTACAACCACAAAATCCCATGAAGTGCACAATATGGAACAGTCCAAAACTGCCTGGAACTGTTCAGGGCTATGGCTTCACATTAAGTGGCAGTGCTGAACAAGCCGGTTTTCGCAACCACCATCCTCATTGAAGTGACGCAGCTGAAAGAACCCCAAGTCACTGCTCATCTAGACTAATTCCCTGGTCTGGCTTATCACAAGCCACACTGACAATTGTGCAGATACAAAAGGAAGTCAGGAGATCAGGAACAGGGACATCTTGAGCCACAACAAATATCTAAGAAAGGTATTTGGAATCAGAGCATGGACCTGTCAGCTTTAGGCTTCTTTGCAGAAACAGAAGGATATAAAGCAGTTTTATCAGACTGGAAGGCCAGACCTAATCTTTTTAGGCAAATATCTTTTTAAATGTGACAATAGTAATACTAGAAATACTATTTAATTATATATGCAATTCTTGTCATCGTGAGGTGCAGTTGAAGGGGTTGTCAACTTGTCTGTCAATACCTTTTTTTCTGAAGGTGCCGAGAGGATTGAACACAGACAGGTACTGTCTCAGGCAATGAGTGTGTTTGGGGTTTTGCTGTAAAATATGCATCAAACTTAATGAAAATGTAGAGGATATTTTGAAAGGCTCGCGTGCGTGAATTAAACATTTAATCCCAAGAAGACAGATGTCAGCAACAGAACAGCAAACAGAGAAACAAAGTAAGAAGTCCTGACGGCACCATCTACATATGATGTTCAGTAGGATGTCAGTTAGGCCAGTGTAGCCAGTTTTCATGGCTTTCTCCAGGCTTCTATTGCTTGTCTGGAAAAGATTCAGAACTTGAAAACTGTCCGTACTTCACCTGATGTGTTAAAGACTTTCGTGACATTCCCAGGGGAGTAGAGAGCATCTGTAATTTCGCTTACAGTTACAGCACAGTGACTCAGTAACAGGCATACGGAAGATATTTGGTGTAGCTGGAACATAAATCTTACTTGGCCTTTTCTTCCCCTTCTCTATCAGAGTAGAATGTGGCTATTTTTCAGTTGTGAATCCTGGCTTGGGGTAAGGGGAAAGGTTTAAATTGCATTGCATCCAGCACCCTGCCATCTCGATTTACTTATTGCAAGTGGCTCAAAGGCAAATGCTCCTGCCAGGCTTTCAAGCTGAGCCTCACAACAGTCCTGCTCTTTTCCTCATACTCCATTCAGCAGAATTGTCAGTACCACAGAAAGCTAGCTTGACTCCTCTGTTCAACTGTATTCTTATTTATGCATAGCCTGTTAAAACTACTGCTAGCCTTTATGTGAGAATTTAAGTTACACTTAACTTGTCAGCAGGGATAGCTTAAGGGGAAGTGGAATCCAGCCTGAGCTGGAAAACAAAACTCAGATTGACTCAAGTTTTTTTCCAGGGAAAAACTAAGTGACTTGCACACTCAGTTTAACTCAAAGGGATTCTTCCCTTCCGTTCTAGTCCACATTTTCCAGCTCTGCCATCTATCTGGGAGGAGGGCCAGCAAACCCACTGTCAAGCATTAGCTGCAACTGCTTGTCCTGGAATAAGTACTCCATTGTGGAGACTCTGAGGGCTGGAGACTAGGGTGGAGCCTCTCTTTGAGTGTTGTGTCATCCTGTCCTGCTGAACGGTATTTTCCTAGCAATTGTGGAGTCATGACGGAAGGCACTCCTTTCTGGTGTGCTAAGAGAGGGCATTTGCTCCTCTCCTCACCTCCTAAGTCATATAAAGTCCATACTTCTCAGAGAGAGGTGAAATGATCTCTTTTCCTATTGGAAACTAATAAGAATGCAAGGCAATGATACCTTATCAGTTCTTTGCCTTGTTTCTTAAAACATGGACAGGCAACGATGTGCAAGCTACATGAAGACTGAGAAATTACAGGAACAGATAATTTGATAAGTATAAATGATAAATACAGATACATGCTCTGTGGCTGTATATAAACCTGCAGAGTGCATGGTAGCTGTAAATGAGAAAGTTCAGTAATTAGAGGTGTTCCTGCAACAGAACCAGATGTGGCATAGATGGTAACCTGAAAAGTGGAGTGAATTATCCTGGATGCAGCATACACTAGTTTACCATCCTTTTCTCAGTACCTGGGCTGGCCCACTGAGATACCACTAGTACTGTTGTCAGAAGAAATTCCTTTTCTTGTTGTTGTCATGGATTTATTGTTAATCCTGGTAATCAGATTTTTATTTTGTTCAGAGAGATGAACATGGCTTAATGTGCATTTTGATGTATCTCTTAGTTTTTAATTGTATGTGGGTGTGTCTTGATCACTTGTGTCAATGACTGAACTCATTAGACAGTTTATGACCCAAGGTCCTGAGTTCTTGTGTAGCTGCTTCCGTATTCTAAATGTAGTTTGGATATCTGGAGCTTCATAAGCTTCTGTAAGAGGTATTGACCCTGCCAGGGATCAGCCAGGGAGGATTTTGCTATGAATTTATGAGTCAAATTAGATTTACAGTGGTATAGCTGAAACTAGGTCTGTTCAAGGTTCTGCTACTGCAAGTAAATTTGTGTGTATGTGTGTTTATACATCTTATATATGTATATGTGTATATATACCTCATATATATGGTGACACACTGATCTCAAGCAAGAAATACAGAAGGAAGTTGCTCCATAAAACCACTTTGAGCACACTTAACATGGTGCTGTATTTCCTTTTGTGTTGTGCTGTTCCACTGAGGACTGAAGAAGGCTGGTAAACTGTGGATCAAGTTCCTTTTCTCTGAAGAGAGAATAAAGAATGAGCTGAAAAATGTGTCCCTTTACGTTGCCCCAGCCTTCATTGGAGCGAAGGATCACAATGGTAAAAGCTCTCCTTTGGAGAACACAGGAAATCCCCCCAGCTCTGATACCATACTACTGCCAATGTAGCAAACAGCTTTTGATTGACAGTAAGAAAGCTATTAGGTACTGCATTCATTTTAATCCATTTGGTGTGAGACTGGGATGGTTAATACCTTGTGTTTATCTTACTCATAACTACAAACATGCTTCCAGCTGGCTAGTCCATCTCCTATGCTGAGTGCACTGGGGACATTTGTTAAGAATGGGGTCAGAGTCCACGTTTACCCTTCATTTCTTCTTCAGTTGTTTGTTTAAGGATCTTCTGCTTGAATTCTATTCAAAAGAGAGATTTTCATGACCAAGTAGTATTTTCTTCCACTTTTGCTGCTTTGATAGCAAGAAACAAAAAGTTGGAATGAAATAACCAGTTGGGTTTTTAGCTGTGGGATGCCTAGAACCCATAAATGTGACTTTTTCCTTTGTTCTTCCTGAATAAATATAATGTTTAGTTTTTAGTTATACGTTAAGTATCTAATTACATGTCCTGTATGTATCCGTGTTTCCAAATGACTTGTGCGGGAAGCCTTGTTGAAGAAGTGCAGAATTGAGTTGCCTTACAAAAACCTTTCTTCAGCCACAATTAAGATGGTGGATTATTTTGCCCAACATGTTTCGAATTGCTGGTGGCTTGACCTCACAGTCTCTGTACTTCTTCTTGTCAGCATTAGTCTCCACAGACTCGGACTGCTCATCCTTACGGGCAGCATGTGACTCTGTGTCAGAGGCCTTACCTGTGGTGGATTTGTGTCCTGGTCGCTGCTGCAGTGGTGAGCAGAATCTGAGCAGTCTGCCTTAGCACTGTTTTAATTCTTCATCAATTTCTCAGTTAACAAATAAATTAAAAAATGAGAAATATTATGCAATGATAGGTCTAATTTCTCAACAATTCTGTGAAATTTTGTATTCTTCTTTTTATGAATCCGTTGAAATGTATAAAATCTTGGGTATTTTGGAATTATATACTGTTTGTAACAGCCCTGTACTATGCAAAGAAAAGCCTGTAGCAGCAAGGATATGATGTGCTGTTGATGTTATCAGACTATTACCACTTTTTTTTTAGCTTGGATTTCTTGGCTAGAGTTTTGGAGGGAGCACGGGACTCACCACACACCTTCTCTCAACCTTTTTGCCCCTTCATATCTCCGTTTGCTGCTGCAGCTTTGAGAAGTGTA